GTGGGGAGGCGGGAGGGGGAGGCCGGGGTCGGGGGATGCTTCTTTGTGCAGTAGATACAAGAGCAGAAGTCTGTTTGCCAGCACCACCTCACCCACCATGTGTGCACTGCTCTTAGTAAGGGTGTTCAGAAACACAGAGGGTAGCTTGTATCCTTGGAGAATTGTATCCTCGGAGAAGCCAAATGGTGTCACTGACAAGCATTTCTGTGGTGCATCAGACACCTAACATCTGATTGTGTGCATACTTGGGAAGAGCAGATGCATAGTAGCTCCCTCTAAATCACTTCTGGAATTCATTCCAACTTCAGCATTGCTGAGGCATGTACTAAATCAACCTTCATTTTCTGATTCTGAGAGCTAGGATCGTGCTGGGAAGCGGCTGACCCTAGATTAAACACTCACCCTGCAGATGGATATCCTATGAAACGGGACCCGAAAGTTGGAGCACTTCGTAATCTCAATATCCACCGAATGCTGCCCTGACAGCTAAGTGGCTTACACTGGCACAGCTGTGGGTTTCTGATCTCATGTGGGTATCAACCTCTATGTTCACTGGTGGTCATGGGTGGCCTTCCCTACGGGTTCTGGCCAAGGGCTGCTGTTTCAGCAAATATGAATAGGAAAGAGGCATCTGGATAAAGGAACCATCAAAGGGATCTCTGAATGAAAGCAGAGGGGAGATGCCACAAGGAGGCGGCAGCCATCTGAGGCCTGTACGGAGGGGAGAAGACTGTAGTTTTGAAGAAGGTCAACCCTAGCACTGTCTGATCATCCATGGTGGGCTTCCTCTCTCCCTGGCATCACGCCTCCCCCTCAGACACCTGTTCCTGGACTGCCTCCAAATACAGGGCCGGCCCAGGTCTGAAATGACTATCTCCTTAGCAAGGCTCTGAGTGGCTATCACCCACCCCCACTCCCACTCCCTCACCCAGCAGGCAGAGGAAAGGCCATGTGTCGGCTTGGCCATAGTAACCAAAAGCCGGGTGAGGATAACTTAACAAACATGCGCTTAGAGCTATAACATGGTCTATAATTGTCCCCAGTTTAGGAGAAAAGTATTTTTTTAACATTAAAATGTTGACATGTGTGCTCTAATCCATGCGCTAAGGGATACTAACACTTTCTAACATGAATAAAAATGCTGCCAGGGGCTCCAAGTTTACATATTAAATAGAAAATTATTCCAGCTATCCCGGAGCACACGGTATATTTAATAACCAGTAACGTTGTCCCTTTTACTAAAATGTAAAGGGACACTATCTTCCCCAGACATAGGAAAAAGATGAAGTGCTGCAAGGAATGTGCAGAATCACAGCACATACACATGGCAAGGGAAGGTCATTTGAAAATGAAAAAAGTACCATTTGCACGCATGCCAACATTCTTCCTATAAAATTGAATTTGCCGTTCCTGTCATTTGGAATTCTCTCATGCATTTGGAATATTTGCATTAGCCTTGTTTTCACTTGGGAATAGCAAAGGCTCCCTTTGGAAGAGAACGCCGATTTTGAGATTCAATTCAAGATGACTGCCCACCACTCACGCTCACTTTCGAGCAATGAGAAACAAAAGCAATCCATCTGACACACCCAGGAACTCAAGGCTCTTTCATATCAGCTGGGAAATCTAACACATTGTGTGTGTAGGGGGAGGGGGCTGGGGAATGTGCGTCCTGCATTTTCCACTGGGAGTTAGTGAATGTTTTTTGCATGAGGTTTCATGCTGTTCCCCACGGTGCCCTTCTCTGTGCTAGAGCTTGATGAATTTATGAAATTCCGATGTTGTGAAATTGGCCAAGTGTGTGGGTAAGCAGCTCACCAGTTAGCTCACTTCTGGACATGACAGAGTGGCATCATCACTTACCTTCACAAACCAACAGCTTGTCATTATAGAAGAAGCCCACTGGGCATTCACATCGGAAGCTGCCAACCATGTTGATGCACACTCCATTTTCACAGACCCCCGGGATCTCCCGGCATTCATCAATATCTAGAAACAGAGCAGCCAGGCATGAGTGACAGCACAGAACATGGCCCCTGGGCAGGGTCGATCAGGAGGGAGAGTCACTTGATGTTCAACGAAAGTCTAAAACCAAAGAAGAGAAAATGCGTGCGCACATGTGCGGCCGTGTGCATGTGTATACGTGTGTGTGGGTGTATGTTGGGGTGCTGCGGTTGATGGAATGGGGAGGGAACATCAATGAATGGCAAACTGAAATAACTAAACCACTTTCCAGACACTCATGTGTCTATCTGGATTTAGTGTCTGTCTTTTTTATGTTGTTTCAGAACATCCACACTGTCCAGCTGGAAGCCATCTTTGCAACCCCTGGACACTGGGCAGAGGAGAAGGAAAAAGTGACTGCTGAGACCGGACAGCCTCTCTACCCAAAGGGTATGGCAATGTTTGGCTAGAATGGGAAAGGGGAGCTGGTAAAGAAGAGGAGGAGCCTAAGGTCAAAGCCAACTCTGGCCTTTCAAATTCAACTTCAGTGCCCCCTCCTCTTTCACTAGGTTTTTGGTCAGGTCTGGGGGTACTCTGGGCCCCAGCTGATGGCGAAGATGGAGTCAGCACTAAGGAAGGGTTGTCGGAATTTGGAATAGACTGTGGCTTCCTAAACCCATGGCTGGGCCTAGCTGCTACACCACTGTTACAGGCCCCTAGCAGGCTGTCTGACAAATATTAAGTGTCAATTAAAATTTGTTAAACTAAGAACCAGTATTTGGAAGTGGAGTTGGTGAGCATTTGAACAGGACACAGGCTGGCCAGTTGGTGAGGGAACCTTGTGGGCAGGTCTCACTCTCCACCAGCCTGGTAGATCCACTCTCTGTCTAACCTGCTCCGATCTCCCATTCATTCAGTTCCCTCCAGGATAATAATGTTAATAATGTCTCTATACCAAGTTTGTCAGGCAGTCAACCTGGATTTACTCACTGAATCATCAGTCTCCCTACGAGGTGGTCTCCATGTGGGTGATGGAACTGAGGCCAAGTCAGGGGATGGAACTTGCCAAAGACCACACAGCCAATAAGAAGCAGAGTCCGATTTGATACCAGGGATCCTCTAACCAGCTGTCCTGCCTCCCTTGTGTTTTTTCACATCACAGTCATACAAATTTCAGAAAACCTTTATCAAAGCACTTGTTATTCTCAGGGCCCCTCCATCAGCCCCTTGGTAGTTTCACAAAACACTCCAGAAGCTGGGAGGGGATATAAAGCTTTGGTCTATCTACATCACACGTCCTTCCAATTCTCCAGGTTTCTATGACTGTTGTTGAGATCCTTTCATTTGCTATTGTAGTCTGGAGGCTCTGCAAGGCGTTTTTCCTAAGTTGTAAGAAGTTGGCCATAGACGTAAGTGGAGCCAACAAAAGATGCTATAATTTCAGAAGACTCACCTCTGAAACCAGCCTGTTTTAAAGGAGAAATCTGACAGGCTATCCATTTATTTTAAACCCTTTTCTAAAGGGCTTGATTTTGTGTGAAGGCAAACTGATCTCTTTAAAAATTTCAAAAGTTTTATTGCTATTTTGAATATAGGTAATTATGTTTTTAGATTTTTCACACATTTATCATTCATGTTGTTAAAAACTTATGCAAATAAGACTACAGCTGTGTCTGATCAGCAAACAAAAAACAACAACCCAATCCAACAATAGGATGGGTTAAAACATGAAATTGCATATTTATTTGTTTTAAATATAAGTGATATATTATCATGTATAACAATAATAGGCTGGGTCAAATTTCTAGCCATTGTTCGGCATAAAACAGCCAAAGGATATAATAAAAATTTATATTTTCTTTTCCTGTCTGGATTTCATTTGAACTTTAACATGGAGAAGTTTATATTTTAAGACAAGATTAATAAACTTGCTATAGTTTTAACCCCATACGAATGGGCTCTATATGCCAACAATCTTAAGGCCTTTCAGAAGAAGAGTATAAAGCTTAAATAAAACAAAGTTTCCCAGTCATCTAAATATTTTGTCATGGTGGAATTTGGTACAGTAAGTATACTGCTCACTATCACATTTCCAGTTTTCAAGAGCTAGAGTCAAAGCAAGCTGTGAGTCAGGACTGGGTTCTGGTCCTAGCTCTGTTATTAATTAGCTAGGTGACCTCGGCCTAGTCCCTTCCCCTCAACTGCAAAGCAAGGCATTTGGACTAGATGCTGTCTGGGACCTTTCCAGCTCGACTAGTGGGTGGCGCTAATGCTGTTTCGAGTCTAACTACTGCCAGCCTTACAGGGCAGGCCTTTCTGGGGATACTCCTGGTCCTAGCATGGAGACTCATCACTACTAAAGACCACTTATCTTCGGATCAGAGATTCTAGGGAGATGAAAAGATCTGTTTTGGGAAGGGGAAAAGCAAAGCAGCTGCGGCCAGGTGTTTTATGCCAGTGTCACTTAGCAGTTTCCTTTTCCAAACCATGAAGTTTCTTTGGACGTTGACTAGACTGTGGAGCCATATGGATTTGGCACTAAGGGAGCTGGGCTGATTGCTGGATCAGACCCTTGTTTTCTTAAACACGGTCATTGGAAAGGCTGATGTGGATTTCAGTTTACTTATTAGGAATAAGGTGGAACAAAGCAAGTGGTGGTGTTTGCTACTCCACTCGAGCGCTCAGACTGAGGAGGGGCATCTAAGGATGCCTATAAATCACACAGGGGAAAAGCTCTGAGGCTGCAATAGCTTTCTACTCTTATGTTGTTTGGTTTTAAACCACAGAAGCATTGCCTCGGTGGCTGACGGCTGTGCAATACTTCTGACTCTTGCTCAAGCATCTCTAGCACTATAATGGTCTCTGCTTCAGTTACCAGATTGGCAGGATTTTTTTTTTATTTCATATCTGAAATTCCCAAAGCAGATAACCTGGGGAGATTCCATGAAAGACAAAATTGATCCACAAGAAGGAATTTAGGTGAACAACCTACACGTGAGGATTGGTATGAAAGGTCATATTAAACGCATGTCTTCGTCAGAAGGCAGGATTGGGAATTACAGTCAAATCAAACGTCAACTGGCCCTGCTCCCAGAATCTCTCTCTTTGTTGATGCTTAGGGTTGGTTTAACTAAGCTTGATTGTAATTTTGTGAAAAGCCTTCCAGTCCCCTTAATCATGAGCAACAAATGCTGCTGCCAATGAGGTGGAGCTACCCGGGGTGTTTGCACAGTTCGTTTCAAACTAAGAATCAGTGTTTCAATAAATTGAAATGACACTGTTTAATGAATTTTCCTTCTAAGAAAAAAAAAAAGCAAATTGAGAAAATAACGTGTAACCCTTAACACAAAGGCAAAAGCAGAAAGTTCCAACAATGGCATCATAACTCACCAACAGGTAAGCCGGTGTAAATGTCAATGACGAAGCCTGGCCTTTGACTTCCACAGAGTGTAGCAAATTCGTCTGCAGTGATTAGACAAAGGTGGGGTGAGGGGCATAGGAACAAGGGTCAGTAAAGAGCAATGATTGGGCTGAAAGAATTTACTTTGTAAACATTCTGGAAAGATATTTATTTATATTTTGAAGCATTTAAAATAAAAAATAAATTTGCAATTCCTACAGATATTATAATCTTGCCCTTAAGGTGAATGTTGCAGGAAGTGACCTCATGTTGACATCATGAGGGACAAGCAGCGGTCTTCCCACCACATCTGACACTCATTTGTATAAACTTGCCTGTAGGAATTTGGGCTTTTATAAGGATAATGTTCACCTCTGAGCCCAAGGACTGGCAGGAGTGTCTCTTTCCACTCTGCATTAAGGGGAATGCCTACAAAAGCCATTTCGTCAGTAGATTGGGGAAGACCATAGTAAGTCTAGCCAAGTTCTTGACATCAGGTCTATTAATCACTAATTCATGCCAAACCACCAACTTATACCATTACTTCAATTTTTGGAGCTGGATTTCTTTTGGTGCTGCACTCTTGCCTTTTCTCTCTCTCCTGACCCTCTGTCTTTCTCTCATGCCTGAATTCAGCAAAGTTGATAATAAAGAATGAGCTAAATGCCATCTGCTGTCCATTCTAACTTTGAGGTTTTGTCATTCCAGATCATGACTGTAACTATTATGGCATGATATAAATTTAAGTTCAAGATGGCCATTGCCGTATTGGTCAAACCCACTGAAAATTAGTCAACGGTTTCTAGAAGTAAATGTAGCATGTTCTTCGCCTAGTGATTTATGTCTTACTCTATGAGTGTCCATTTCCAGTAAGTGTCATGCCAACAGACACTGGTCATCCAGGTAAATTTCAGGGACTCCTCAAATGTGTGCAGATTGTATAGGTAATGAAAAGCCATGATTGGATTTGGTCAATATTCAATATGAAGAAGACATCTTACATTTTAGTAAGAGTATGCAGATGCCTAAACCTCAGACAGACAGTTCTGAAAGTAAAAGGTAGTCTTTATCAGGGGTCTCCAATGTGGTCTCCAAGGGAATATACAAAGATCCATTAAGATAAAAAAAATACTAGAACTATCTAGCTTTGCAAAATCTAATTTAAAAAGATTTTTGTGTAAATTTTATAATAGAACATTTTATAAAAATAAATTTATTTTCCAAAATAATTAAAAACAAATATATAGAGACATATACACATATACTTTTATATGTGAATACACACACCAAGTGAGTGTAACCCACAGGTATTTTTTTGAAAGGTATGTATCATCAAAGACAATCAGACAAAGGGTCAGCAATTTTTTTTCTTAAAGGGGTAAAGAGTAAATATTCTAGGCTTTTCAGGCTGTGCAGTCTCAACTATCTCATTAAAGCAGCCATAGACAATGTAAAGAAATTAGAGTGGCTGTATTCTAACAAAATTTCATTTATAGACACCAAAATTTGAAGTTCATATCATTTTCAGGTCATGAAATATTAATTTAAAAAGTCTGTTCTTCCCTGGCAGGGTGGCTCGGTTAGTTAGAGCATCATCCCATGCTTCAGAAGGTCGCAGGTTCAATTCCCTGTCAGGGCATTGGGAAGGGGGTTCAATCCCCAGTTGGAACATTTATAGGAGGTAATCTCTCTCTCTCTCTCTCTTTCTTCTCCTCCTCATCTTCCTCCTCTTCCTCCCCCTCCTCCTTCTCGTCCTCCTCCTTCTTCTCTCTCAAATTGATAATAATAAAAAAAAAAACACCCACATCCTTGGGTGAGGATTAAAAAATTATTTTTGGTAATTTAAAAAATTAACAATTTTTTCAGCCATTTAAAAATGTAAAATTCATTCTTAGCTTGTGGTCCATACACAGATAGGTGGTGGGTTAGATTTTGCCCAGGGGCTATATGTAGTTTATCAAACCTGGTTTAGTGTTATCTTGCTGAGTAAGGTAATTTATAATTCTAAGTGATAGATACTACATTATTTCTGCAGTAAACCATAGATGCAATGGTATATTTTACTCAAATAAAATGTTTCATGTGTTGTCAGGTAGCACTAGACATAGATTTGCTGTATTATGGATCCCTGGAGAATGGAGTAGGTTCTATAGGATGCACAATAGTTCACTCAATCTAAAACATCACATTAGTAAGTGATGTCATCATGGCATACATGAAATATATCATCTAGCATATGCTATAATATCAGTGCTCCAAAGTTCTCAGTTCATTTGCTCCAAGGATATAAATTATCCTTTTTAAAAAACAAGTAACATTATATAGATCTTTCTCTATGAGGACAGAAGAAGAAATTTCTCTCAGGTCTCAATATCAAAAAGAGTTGCGCTTCCCTTTAGCGCTGAGTTTGCTCCATGGTCATTGAGATTCTTAGACTTGCTCATGTCTCCCTTTTTCCTGTGAGCTGCTGGGAAGTTTGGAGCCAAACTTACTGCTCATCTCTGGCGAGTGTTTGGAAATTCCTGGCTGGAATTCTGTGGATTAGCCTCGCTAACTTGCTCCAAGTTTCTTGCCCTTGTTTGCCATTTGCCTTAGGCCATCTTGTTTTACATTTGATTCTTTGTGGGCTGCCTTAAATTCTATTTTGGAACAGGGCTAGTTATAAATAAGTTAAAATAATGGGAATATGGTTTGCTTATTTGTCATATTGCTTTGCATGATGTTTCCAGTCCCTTAGTTAGACTGATAACAGTATGTATATCTTTGTGATATGCTGAGTCTGTAAGTCTGGTAAATGAACTAATATAAAAATTAGAAAACATATTCTGTAACTTAAATTTTCAGCTGGAAGGACCAGGATCAACTGCAAATTTAAATATTTGCCTATGTGAGCTCATTTTGTTCTAATGAAGATTAACGATGCACCCATCCCTTCCCTGGCTGAAACTCATTTCCCCAACAATCTATGAGGAATTGATTTACCTGTAGTTTTGGTGATGGTGAAGCTAAAACTCACCTGTGCTGGGGATGGGACACTGTTCACAGGGCTTATTCCAGGCTCGGCCAATATTGTAGGAACAGCAGCACATCTTCTTGGTCATATTGAACAACAGTTCTCCGTCACAGGTCTGGTTGTCAGCATAATAGTTTCTGTAGCACAAACTTCTTCTCATATCTAGAAGAAAGGAAAAAGGAAGGGATTGGCGATGCCATGGGTATTTCTAAGGGGATATTCAAGCAGTGAGCTTCTTTTGAACGGACTTTGATAAGGGCAAAGCCTGTTCGTACACAACTTTCCATCTACCTATAGTGCCATAAGAAAAACAACAACTGAGAAATATAGACCCTGATACTTGGTGCCACCGAACTATGTCATTATGTAGCTGTAGCATTAATAAACTTTACATGACTCTCCACCCCGTCTCCTAGTAACAATTCTCCACTGCTATTTGGCAGTAATTTTCTCATTTCCGACTCATGATGTTTTAATACTGCCGGTCAGTGCTGTAAATATAATTGTATAAAGATACACCCAAAGTCAAACAAAAGAAGTACTATTAAACCATTGTTTGGGATTTTCCAACATTACAGTTTAAAGAAAACTCCCAACCACCCACACGAGGTGGTGGTGAGAAAAGGCCAAGCTCATGGTTTAAAGGGGAGGTGGTTCTCACAAAGACAGTGAAAGGAGCAAATAACATAAGGACTAATTGCTGGACCTGTAAGCTCTTTTTCTCTTTGCAGATGAGGACCAACCACGCATTATTAACAAAAGCTTGGACTTACCCATGCAATTATTGCCCCCATTCACTTGCATGTAGTCTGGAGGGCAAATGCAGGTGTAGTTGCCAACGGTGTTATAACATGTCCCTGGACCACAGATTCCTGGAGTTTCACACTCATTCACATCTGTAACCCAAAGAGAAAGTGGTATGGGAAGATGGACACTTCACTCTTGGGAATAGCCTGGTACTCAGAATCACTATAAATGTTGACAAGGAAGGAGAAAGTCCACAGGGCACTTTAAGATCCAGATAAGAGAAACAGATGTTTAGTTCATCAGTGTCCTTTATCTGTGCTAACGTGGGTATGCATTTTCAGAAAAGGAGGTTTTAGCAAGGGAAGTTTTGCTTTCTGATATGAGTTCCTAATAACTGAGTCCATAACATCCTCAAAAGCATGCAGAGATGGAAATGTGGAGAAAATATAATTCTCAAGCATCCTTCAGAAAGACAACTGTGTATAGTACTTCATATGTTCACAAAATCCATGGAACGATATGATGTATCCTGAAGCTATTGACAGCTGGATTCATGAATCCGCGTTGGTAAGGGAGCATGAAAACAGGTATTTCACACCTCCTTCCCTATTTTCAAACACAGGAGTTGATTCCAACTTTTGTTAACTCCATGGATCTTAGAGCTATGCTGTACACACTGGATGCTCAGCTAACCCTCAGCAAGGTTGTCACTGAGTCACCCAATAAGCCTTTTGGAGAACCAGAGGACTACTTTTCCTCCAGGATGCAAGGAAGTCTCTTCTCTAAACTAGTCCTGTGACACCTGCATGTAAATGAAATCCATCTCTCTCAGCCTGGTCTGTAGCCCAAGTCCTACAGCTAAAAGTGGTCAATATTCTCCATTTTTCCAGGATGAACAGGGGTCAACACATTATGAAACCAAAGGGGCCCCATTTAAGAGAAGCTAATTTAAATGCATTGGTACCCATGCTAAGTGGTGAAGGGCAGGAAGAAGAGCCCAGAACTGCCCAGCATATAGAAGTCACTGAAATGGGACCTGTGCGGCTCTAATAAAAAATGGCTTTTCTGAAAAGCATGGAAAACTTTGGTACACATAAGTGTAAGATAATAAAACTATACTTCCCACAGGAAAAGAGGGAGTTTTGTGACAATTTGGCATTACGACAATGACATTATATCAGTAATGTGAGTGCACACTGCCACCTGTCATTATACCTATGTTCCTATTTAGACCATTGTGTTATTTTGCTAAATTTCAGCTTTCCTGGCTTTTGAGGTCAGTTCTCAATATTGGAAAGAACTTATCATCCTGTCGGGGCCATTTACCATCACACACTCGGGTATCTTCATTCAGGAAGTAGCCCGTGGGACAGCGGCACTGGAAACTACCGAAGGTGTTGATGCATTTGCCGCCCTGGCACAGCCCTGGAAGCTCCTGGCACTCGTCAATGTCTGTCAAAATGAAGACAGCAGAGTTTCTTCAGCATTGTCAGTAAACCCAAGGAAGTTCAAAATGTATGCTCTTTCTGAGAAAGGAAACAGAATTACCTTCCAGTATAACAGTGATGGGGTTGGGTCGAAAACCTTCTCCACCAGGACAAAGAATTTTGTACTCAGCTATGGAAACAAAAAAAAATCAAGTTGAGTTCTTCTGAGGATAAAATTTCTAGCAATGGTATCCTTGAGAGAAATACCGACATATCCAACTGCACATACTCCTTTGCAGGAATCTCTAACAGTGACCCCCACCCATCTGAAGCAAGTTAGTATCTCTATCTATGCTCATCATTTTCAAAAGGCTTTTACTATGGCCACTGTCCTCAGTCTCTGAACCCTGTACACACTCCCCTGGCCTTATGTTCTTGTGAACTATTTTATTCCCTCATCTCCATCCTTCTTTCTTTTTAAAGATCTTCTTTTCCTTTTTATTTTCTCACAGACTCCTCCATTATTATTATGTTTGGTTCAGACTTACTTCCTGGAAATCACAGCTTCCATAATAATGTTCATCAGTCTGTTTCCAAAACCCTTTCCAGACAGCGCCCTAGGAAGAGCTGCTCTTTCTTGGTTCCCACCCCACTTCTCTCCATAAGGACGAGAGATCTTTCTTGCCCTCTGTTTAACTGACAGTAATACTGATGCCTCTGACCAAGTTTTTACAGTGTCCTTTGATTTCCCCCATTAATTCTCTGATCCAACTACTTCATTCAAAAACATTTATTTCAGTGGCATGCACCAGCAGTGTGATACATACAGGAACACATGAATAAGAATGACCCTAACCTGCTGGAAAGCCCTGGTGAGTATCTATATGAAGCAATTCTTTCATGGCCTTCATGTTCTTCCCTAATTTGATAATCCCTCTCTTGGATTTCTGAAATGTTATGTATATATACATAACTTTAAATATGGATATATTTCAGTTTTAGCTCCAATCTAGTTTGGTGTAAAGTGGACTTTTATTTGCTAATCATTATTAATCAACAGAGCTGACTCCCCCATTTAAACATCTTGGTTTGATTCTTTCAATATCAATGAAATGAACTACCCTCCTCTTCCTCTTTTACTTTTTTCTCTCCTATTTCTGCTGTCCACTATTCCTTTTAAGTCTTCACTTTCACATCACACCCTTCCTTCAAGGCCCAGTTAAAAAAATGCACAGTCATGCTCTGGCCAGTGTGGCTCAGATGGTTGGGCATCATCCCATGCACTAAAAGATTGCCGGTTTCATTCCTGGTCAGGACATTTGCCTGGGTTGCAGCATGCAGGAAGCAGTTGATAGATGTCTGGCTCTCACATCAGTGTTTCTCTCTCTCTCTCTCTCTCTCTCTCTCTCTCTCTCTCTCTCTTTCTCTCTCTCTCTCCCTCCCTCCCTTCCTCTCCCTCTAAAAAAATAACTTTTTTTAAAAAAAGCTCAGTCATCACCACCGCATGCCAGACTGACTTCCCTTTCTGAAGAGAAGAGGGGGATGA